CTAAGTTGTCGTGTGATTGGGTGGACGTCGCCAATTTAGCAGTCCATTAAACAATACACAGCAGCCCCCTTTTCTATTCTTTTTAATACTGCATGAAGTTTTCGCTCTAGATTTTTTTTTTTACTAGGCTGGGAGAGGTTATGTCAGATCCGTGTATCTGTCATTTCTTCAGTGGAAGAAGAAAAGTGGGGGGGAGACTAATTAAGAAATCCTTTCTTGATGTAACCTCAATATATTTAATCTTATATCAAATTTGTATAACCCACACATGATACAATGGAGGGAGAAAAGCCACATGGCCAGAACCTATCACCTCTGAGAGGCACAACCAGGAGATGAGAAGATCATAAAAATTCCACAGTGAGATGTGTCCTGGGAATCTCTGGAAAAAGTTCGTTCTAAAAAGGGAGTGGGGGGAAATTAGATATGTCCTGGGAAACTGTGAAAAAGATCGTTTCTACAGAAAGGGTGGGGAGGAATTAACATACTGGCTTTTGTTTCACTAAATACACATCGGGATAAGGGGAGGGGTTCTAAACTCCCTTATCTATCCCTGTATGCCTGAGGGACCTCAGACGCTGCTTTGAACTCCTACATGAATTATCTCAATAAAGGGTTCCTTTTGATACGTTTGGTGTTCAGAAGTTCATTCTTGTTAATTGAATGGGAAAAAGTTCTGTAGCCTGACAGGTTGGCAATGCCTGGGGAAGGAAAAGCATGTTTTCCACAGGTGTCATTGCTATATTTAAAGGGCCAGCTAATGTCATTGGTGTTGGGAGATTCATTGGTGAGGAGATAGTGACTGAATGTGCAATGTTCACTGGTGCAGTAACTGGAGTTGTAAATTGACAGGTATGGTGAGTGTTAACAGAGAACTCATTGGGCTGGAGATGTTAACTGTGCTCAAAACGTTGGCTGGGCTTCTCATATTCACTGCAGCAGCCACAATGCGAGAAGCTGCTCCTTTGGTACTAAGTGAATTTTGCCTCATTTAACAACCTTTCTTGCAACAGTTGTTAAGTAAATCACTGCAGTTGTTAAGTTAATAACATAGTTGTTAAGTCAATATGTCAGAAGATTGCAAAGGTTGATCACATGATCCCGGGACACTGCAACTGTCATAAATATGAACCAGTTGACAAACATCTGAATTTTGATCGTGTGACCATGAGGATGCTGCAATGATTGTAAATTGAAAAGCAGTCATTTCACTGCCATTATAACTTCAAATGGTCACTAAATGAACTGTTGTAAATTGAGGACTACCTGTATATGCAGAAGTTAATCCTGTTAATTTCAAGGGGCCTACTGGATTCAGCTTCCTTCTGAACATGTAATTTCCAGAATAAAGTTATTGGCCTTATGAAATGGAAGGTGGGAACAGAGGGTGGAAGGAATGGTTGTTAAATCAAGGGTTACCTGTATGGACTTCAACTTCCAGAATTCCCCAGTCTTCTTTTTGCTGCAGATCCCATATCCAGTGTCAAGATAAAGAGATGAGACAGCATTTTATCAATAAAAATTTAATTCTGAATTATTCACTTTATATGATCACAATCTTAAAACCAGACCTACAGATATAAAGATATTGTCAGCCTTCAAGATTTTTTTCTCTATTTGCTTTGCATCTTTTGGCTGTCATAAGTAACTGGGGGAGGAGGGGGGATATGGTTATGGGAAGTGAGCTGGAGGTGTTACAAAACAGAACTGTATAAGTTTGGGGGGGGAAGTTCTTGCTTAGGCTTCTATCTTATGCTATGCGCAGCTGCTATCAAAATATGTCAAGGTCAACGGACAGAGGCTTCATCACCACCTGGATGTAGGTAAGTGCAGGGCATGCATGGATGCTTGGGGAGGGCGAAAAACAGACCTCTCAGAAGTCTGGGAAGGCTGGAAATGAGCCCATTTCTGGTTTCCAGAGAGCCTCCGCCGTGGGGGGGGGGGGGCAAACCCACCATGCCATGGTGCAGAAAGCTGACTAGGCCATGCCCACCATGGTCTCACCCACCCAGCAACTGAGCAGAGAACCCTTTGCTAAAATTTTTGAAGCCCACCCCTGAATCCCACTCTCGGGCTTGTTTCAAATCGTGATGGGATGTTTTGTTCGCCGACTGAGCAACCCGACCAAAGCTGCTGTTGAGTCCAGTGTATGTAGGGGAGACTCCGGGGTTAGTTTGGCCAGGCAAATTGGTTGCTGTACTGCAATGTAGAAATGGGAAATGGAGCAGCCAGCACGAGGGGAGGAGGAGGAGCAGGGAGAAGAGAAGGAAAGCGGCCTCCTCCTTACTTCATGCAGGCTGCTCCGTTGCCTGTTTCACCATTGCAGCGCCACACCATGGAGCTTTCCCCACCCACCACCGCCCAGATTTCCCCAAGCATTTCTTTGCCTACCTGATTTACAGATCCGTTGTGTTTCTCGCCATCATGTGCAGGGAAAGAAAAGTTTGTGTGGGGCTAAAAAAAAATTATCTCAATCAATTCCAACCTTGCACAATCTTTTTCTTTCATGAGAAGTTATTAATTGAATCTTTTTTTTAGCCCCACACAAACTTTCATTTTCCTGCACATGATGGCTAGAAATGCAAAGGAGTTGGATATCAGGTAGGCAAAGAAATCCTTGGGGAATTTGTTCTCTCAGCCAGCATGGCCATGCAGCTTCCCGGCTAGGGAGAGGACGCTTTCCCGGCCAGCACGGCCATGTAGCTTCCTGGCCAGGGGGAGAATGCTCTCCCAGCCAGCGTGGCCATGTGGCTTCTTAACTGGCATTCAGAGGCAAGCAGGAAGCTTCGGGAAATGTGAGAAACTCTGGTAAGTGTGGGAAGTGCTGGGAACAGTGGGAAGCTCCAGGAAGGGGCGGGAAGCAACGGGAAATCCTGAGAAGCATGGGAAGTGGCGCTGGAGGCTGGGCACAGTGGGGGGGCATCTAGCTAGCTAGGCCGTGAATGTGCATGTGATGGAGCTACAGCACTGGTGGCGAAGCAATCCAGGAAAGCCTGGGAACGGGGGGAGGGGCAGTGCAGCAGCCTAGGCTGGCCCGGGAGTCGACTGGACCGGGGCTTGCTTGCAGGCTCACTCAGCCAGGGAGATCAGGGCCACGGTGGAAGGCAGGCGAAGGCAGGTTAGCAATGGTGGGTGAGATGAGGAGTGACTGGGCGGAACAGGGAGGGGTGAGCAGGTGGGGAGGGACAGGGCCAGCCAGAATTTTTACTGCTGGTGTGCCTGAACTGGCCCAAATCGGCTGAATCCCACCACTGCTTGTGTTGCTAAGTTATTATGCACAAAGTTTCATGTTTATCATACCTTTCCTTCCAGAGATATAAAAAGCCAAACTTTAACCTTTTTTTCGAGCCGCAATATTTTCGGCCAACTTTGCTCCAAATTATCAAGATGGAGATCACTCATTTTATTATTCTGTTTAATAGAATACAACAAGTTGTACAAGATGGCCAAGTTTTGTTTCTCTCAACAAAATATTGCCGGAGATATTATGTCTCAGTTGCTGAAACCTCAGAGTTATACTGTAGAAGGCTGCAGTATAGGATCAAACAAATGACTATATCTCTACAAGTATTGCATCGGCAAACGTAACACTTTACCAATGTTCATTGGGGACATGTATGCATATTCATACAAAATTTCTTTGAAACCCATGATGGTCGAGCAGGGACCCCCAGACTGTCAGAGCGTTTTGGCAGCATGACTACCTTTATGAGACAACCCAGCAATACACAGCACACAGAGACTTAAGACAGTAACAGTGGTTTAATATACAATAGGTATATACAGACAATATGGATGTGGTAGCAAAATACCTTTACAGGCAAGCTTTTTTTCTTCTTAACACATGCAGAACTTCTGCACTGAACACTGGCCACAAGAAAAGAGAACCACGCCCTCTAATGGTTGCCATTTATATACACACCTCTTAAGGGGAACTTTACTCTCCAGCCTTAAAAGTAAATGCCCATACTCTGCTGAATCACTCTTGTTACGACTCACATCAGCTTCACAGCATCATGCAGCTACTCACTGCTGGTCAGTTTCTAAATCTTAATACCTTAACATAGACCACCTGACATGGAATGACCCAAAAGTTTTGAAGAAGGGAGTCATAGTTCCGTCTTCTTGTCCTTATGATATCATAATAAGGTCACTATCCACATTTGGGGGGGGGGGGACATTTTTTCTGTTTGGCTCATTCCGCTTTCAATGCAAAATGTTCAATTATGCCATAAATTTCATAACAGAAATTTATGGCATAATTGCACATATTATGCTATTGACATGTTATAATTTCTTATCACGTAGTGTATGTATGTATGTATGTATGTATGTATGTACAGTATATTCCAAATTGTGACTTGCTGTGGGGAAAATCTAAATAAAGATTTTCCAGGAATTGTATCATTGGCAAAGGGTTGTTGATTTGAGAAACAAATAACACAATATGAAATAGCAATAGATCAACAATAAACATATTGTTTACTTATTATGCTTGCCTTTCCCATACAGGTACCACCCACACAAGTGACAGAGTTGGCCACGCCCACTAAGTCACATGACACCCCCCACCCCAGCCAGCCAGTCATTAGGGAAGAGAACCAGTTGTTAAAAAATTTGCAGCCCACCACTGGCTATAACACAGAGCCTTCAGTAAGAACATGTATTAATGCAGCTAAAGAAGAGGCAAATTTGAACACATGAACTGCCTTTGTATTCATGTTGGACATATTTAAATTCTAAGATCAGAGAAAAACAATTCTCTTTGTTGAATTTTCTATTGTTCACAATGCAACTTCTACAACACTCTATAAATGAATTTGGGTGTTTGCTAACAGATAGATTTCAATAACATAATAAAGGGAGGAAATAAGAAAGCCATACCATTTGTCATATAGATGGAAACAATTCCATCAGTTAAAAAAACTTAGCTTTTTTCCATAGAATTTAACAGTATAATATAAAACATCAAATATTCAAACATAAAAGAGAAGCAATACCCTTCTTTGGGGAATTTCTGCTGGATTTCCACTTGATGATGACTCAGTAATTCAGCTGTGTTTGCATTGAAAACCTGTAAGCAGTAAATATATAGTTACCAAACCAGTTTGTACACCCATAGTCAAAAGGGTACACAAGGAAGCTCATCACCAACATTTTGTCAGGAAACAGTATACTGATTTCTTCATATATTCAGAATTGTAGCATAATGCCTGTTTAACCCTAGAAACAAATAGCAAATTACAAGCTATTTTAAAATAATTTATTTAAAAGAAGGTACAAGCCCTTCTGAGTCCCAAGTTACAGCTTTTCAACCATAATTTTGCAATGATATGAAAATTCAATATATGAAATTAGATGATATATGAAGAATATGTTAATTGGAAAACTTAGGTTTAGGAGTTTATATAGAAAAATAAAGGCAAAGAATATTTGCTACACAATATGGGCCACTACCAAAAGGGAAAGTAGAGAACAAATGGACTTTTGAAATAAAAAGCAATTTCCTATAGTTTTACATCCAAAGGTCATTATGCAAAATAAATTATTTCCAAACTTCATAACTAAATAAATCAAGTCTTATCTCTTAATCCCCTTTTACAATAATTTTACTAAGACTGCCTGTCACTATTCCAATTCTCCAAAACCAAGAAACAGAAATAAAAGGTTTGATTAATTGCTTTTAATTCTGGATAGCCTGGAAACATCGGCACATAGCAAACAAAACAAGGGCAGCAATAACTGTTGTGGCTTTCCCGCCTATTTAACTCTGCCCCTTGCGTGTGCCTGACCCACCCGCATGGCTGTTGTACTTCTAGAGAGGCCTGAGAGGCCTGGAATCTTTCTGTTGGGCCTAGTTCTTTCTTTTGCTGCTGGTCTGCTCTCCAGCTGATTGTCGGCTGGCTGCTTCTTCACTGTCCACCTCCCATGCTGTGAGTCTACTGTTTTTCATTATCCTTACAAGTCTTCCCCACCGAATGGCAACCCATTCAAGGCTCAAGGGTTGACACTGCCATTACACTTAATGTTCCTGAATAAATTTTATAAATGCAAAGAAATATTCTAATATTCATAGAAATATCATTAGAGTTATAAAATCTGAACATCTTGTCTGGTGTATAAAAATGAAACTAAGTATGAGTTTCCTTGTTTATCAGAAATACATAAACCTAGGTTATATCTACCTTTTTCTAGAAGTTAGTACTCAGAATCATTATATCAAATTGATGTATAAAAGTAACTTTTTACAAAAATAACCTTGCTCATTATAGTATCCTTCTGACTAGTAGTGAGTACATCGATTTCAATATTTCAATTGTCTTGACTAATTTATATAATGCACATACACACTTTTATTGTGTTGCATATTAGAAACATGACAATTAAGTAGAACAGGGACATGGTGCCCTTCAGATATTGTGAAGCAACTCCTGTTAGCTTTAGCAATGGTTAGTTATAAAGAATAATAATGCAAAAATGGGAACTCCTGACTGAACACGTTTACTAGTGATGAACAGTAACAAGAAATAAGAATATATTCTTGTTCTTTTAAAAAAGTAACAACTGTTTGCAGTGATGCTTTTATCTATGTAATGTATTTATTTTATTGGGAAAAAATAGTTTTAGAATATGATCAGAACATATAATCCATATAAATTAAAATGGCCGGTTTGGTCTAAGTAAAAGGCTAGAAAGTAGAAGATCATGAGTTCTAGTGTCATCTTAGCCAGGAAAGCCGGCTGGGTGACCTTGGACCAATCACTCTCTCTCAACCCAACTTACTTCAAAGTTAGTGTTATGGGGAAAATGGGAGGAGGAAGGTGCGCTGGGTAAGTTCACTGCCTTGAGTTACTTGTAAAAATAATAAAGGCAGGATACAAATAAATAAGTAAAACCTTATGAAAGTAAAAATGTACCGTTAATAGAACTAATTTTCAATTACATGACAAACAACCAAGCAATTATCATATAAATCTAAGAGAGAATTAATTTTGTAAAATAATTGGACATGTTATTTAAGATATATTCAGTGTATTTGTTTGAATCTACACCACTCTAAAACATAATGTTTGCATCATTATGTCATATGAAATATTTGGGAAACATTTCCTGTGTTTTATGTGCCTGCATCAAGCAGATTGCTTTTTTATTTCTAAATTATATTTACTGTTTTTCAGTTAACATGTCTTAAATTTAATTCCAAAGTTCAAATATAATGGATACAACAAAATCATATGGATGAAAGGTGATGTCAGATCCATGTATCTGTCATTTCTTCAGTGGAAGAAGAAAAGGGGGGGAGGCTGATAAAGAAATCCTTTCTTGATGTAACCTCAATATATTTAATCTTACAGTATATCGAATTTGTATAACCCACACATGATACAATGGAGGGAGAAAAGACACATGGCCAGAACCTATCATCTCTGAGAGGCACAACCAGGAGACGAGAAGATCATAAAAATTCCACAGTGAGATGTGTCCTGGGAATCTCTGGAAAAGTTTGTTCTAAAAAGGGGGTGGGGGGAAAATTAGGTATGCCCTGGGAAATTGTGAAAAAGATTGTTCCTTACAAAAGGGGTGAGGAAGAATTAACATACTGGCTTTTGTTTCACTAAATACACATTGAGATAAGGGAAGGGGTGCTAAACTCTCTTATGTATCCCTGAGAGACCTCAGATGCTGCTTTGAACTCCTACATGAATTGTCTCATCTCAATAAAGGATTCCTTTTTGATACATTTTGATACGTTTTCAGAAGTTCATTCTAGTTGAGTGAATGGGAAAAGTTCTGTAGCCTGACAGGTATATGATTGTAAGAGTAACAATTGTTAATCTTTGCCTACAAGGTTATTCAACTTATCTAACTTGTTTATCTTTGACTTAGTTTTATTTATTTGATGCCAGCTCCTGAATACTCATTGTCTATTTTGATCAATAGTACAAGACTTCCCCCCCGCCCCAATTTTCTGGAAGAAAATTATTCAAATGAATTAAGTTGGAGACATTTCTTTATTAAGCTGAGATTTTGTATTATATATTTGAACATAGGCTTTATTTTTTCCTCTTTCTGGAAACAACTTGCTTACAATGTTTCCACCAGAAAGGAGATTTAAAGGAAAGACAATCTGAAGAAAAATGTGACACCTAAATAGAAAACAAATGAAGGTTTTAAGCATAAACCCACTATTTTTCTTTATTCCATTTGACAAATATAATCTATTATTATCTATGTCATCAAGATCACTAGAGCTAGCCACTGTGTACTTCAGAAATTATTAAAATTTTTACAACTTATATTTATGGACTCTTAACTATGAAGATGACAATTACAGTTGAACAGAATTACATTCTTCTATTTGAATTCAACAATTCTGATTAAAAAAGAGCCTGCACACACACACACACACACACACACACACACACACACACACACACACACATATTTGTTGTAGTGATGTTTCGGCAGAATCTCATCTGCCATCATCAGGCTTGTGTGTTGGGTTCATCTGTGTTAGGCTTTCACAGCTGTTTGAAATTCTAACAAAACGTCGCTACAACTTTAAAAGCACAACTATAATAATGTGGGGAAAATACCTGAACAAAGCTGAATACCATACATATAAATACCCACGAAAACTTAAGAAAACATACACACACATACACACATATACACTGCTCAAAAAAATAAACGCAACACTTAAACAACACAATGTAACTCCAAGTCAATCACACTTCTGTGAAATCAAACTGTCCACTTAGGTAGCAACATTGATTGACAATCAATTTCACATGCTGTTGTGCAAATGGAATAGACAACAGGTAGAAAGCATAGGCAGTTAGCAAGACATCCCCAATAAAGAAGTGGATCTGCAGGTGGTGACCACAGACCACTTCTCAGTTCCTATGCTTTCTAGCTGATGGTTTGGTCACTTTTGAATTCTGGCAGTGCTGGACTCTAATGGTAGCATGAGACGGAGTCTACAACCCACACAAGTGGCTCAGGTAGTACAGCTCATCCAGAATGGCACATCAATGTGAGCTGTGGCAAGAAGGTTTGCTGTGTCTGTCAGCGTAGTGTCCAGAGCATGGAGGCGCTACCAGGAGACAGGCCACTACATCAGGAGACGTGGAGGCGGCTGTAGGAGGGCAACAACCCAGCATCAGGACCGCTACCTCCGCCTTTGTGCACGGAGGGACAGGAGGAGCACTGCCAGAGCCCTGCAAAATGACCTCCAGCGGGCCATAAATGTGCATGTGGCTGCTCAAATGGTCAGAAACAGACTCCGTGAGGGTGGTATGAGGGCCCGATGTCCACAGATGGGGGTTGTGCTTACAGCCCAACACCATGCAGGACGTTTGGCATTTGCCAGAGAACACCAAGATTGGCAAATTCACCACTGGTACCCTGTGCTCTTCACAGATGAAAGCAGGTTCACACTGAGCACATGTGACAAACGTGGGGTGTGGAGACACCGTGGAGAACGTTCTGCTGCCTGCAACATCCTCCAGTATGACTGGTTTGGCAGTGAGTCAGTAATGGTGTGGGATGGCATTTCTTTAGGGGGCCGCACAGCCCTCCATGTACTCGCTAGAGGTAGCCTGACTGCCATTAGGTACCGAGATGAGATCCTCAGACCTCTTGTGAGACCATATGCTGGTGCGGTTGGCCCTGGGTTCCTCCTAATGCACGACAATGCTAGACCTCATGTGGCTGGAGTGTGTCAGCAGTTCCTGCAAGACGAAGGCACTGATGCTATGGACTGGCCCGCCTGTTCCCCAGATCTGAATCCAATTGAGCACATCTGGAACATCATGTCTCACTCCATCCACCAATGCCACATTGCACCACAGACTGTCCAGAAGTTGGGGGATGCTTTAGTCCAGGTGTGGGAGGAGATCCCTCAGGAGACCATCCGCCACCTCATCAGAAGCATGCCCAGGCGTTGTAGGGAGGTAATACAGGCACATGGAGGCCACACACACTACTGAGCCTCATTTTGACTTGTTTGAAGGACATTATATCAAAGTTAGATCAGCCTGTAGTGTTTTTTTCTAATTAATTTTGAGTGTA